TAGGGTTTAGGGTTTAGGGTTTAGGGGCTGGGCCACCAGCCCGCTGGGGCTCTTCGCCTTTTGCTGCACTGCAGCAGCTTCGTCTGCGGCCTCTGAAGCCTTAAGGGATCTACTTTGGCCTCGAGCAGCAGCAAATTCAGCAGCAGAAGCAGCAGCAGCAGCAGGTGCTGTAGCAGCAATTGAAAAAGCTGCTGCGCTTCAGGGGCCCCCCTTATTAAGCCCCTGCTGCAGCTGCTTAAAGCCTAACTATTAGACCATGGGCGAACTTGCTGCTGCTGCGCTGCAGCAGCACTGCCTCTACATTTGCTGCAGCGCTGCTGCTGGTGGTGTATTCGCCCAAAAAGAAAACTTAAAAGCTTGGAGGTAAAGCAAGCTGCCAGCAGTGCTGCTGCTGCGCTGCAGCAGCAATGGCACTGCTGCGGCAGCAAAAAGCCCCGTGCATGCAGCACGTTGATGCTGTCAGCAGCAAACCTGTGCAGCCTGTGGGCTGTTTTGCTGCACATCATTGGCCTCTAGCCTTTTAAATAAACTTTGAAAGGCCTCAAATGCTATAATTTATCTTTTTAGAATTGCAAACTTCCCAAAAAGTTCACTTAACAAAGCCAAATAGCTGCCCCTGGAGCCTCAGAGCCTCTGGCAGCGCCAGCAGCGAATTGCCCCCCATATATAGTGGGCGCATGCAAGAGATGCTTGGGGGGAAGTGCAGCAACTCCTTTAAATGACAAGAAGGTAGCAGCAGCAGCAGCAGAAGTAGCAGCAGCAGCAGCAGCACCTGCAGACTGCCATTTAGACCCAGGGTTTATCGGGGGAAGCAGACGGCAACCGGGCGGAAAGAAGCTCAGGAAATCCTTAGTGGAAATGCCACGAGATGCAGCGGCAGCAGCAGCAGCAGCAGCAGCAGCAGCAGCAAAAGATGGTGGCTGGGGCTGTTCTGCTATGCCGCAGCGGCGGGACCTGTGGAAAGACTGGGACGTGGGCGTCTGCTGCTGCAGCAGAGGGGGGCGGGAAGAAGCAGCGGCAGCCGCAGCAGAAAGGTACAATGAATGCTGCTGCTGCGTCGTCAAGCACAATGCAGCAGCAGCAGCAGCACAGCTGCTGCCGCAACAAGAAAGACTCCCTCGTTTCCCCCTCTAGTTGTCTTTCTAGCCTTGGCCTTTTGCTGCAGCCTCTCTTGAACTGTGTATTTGCCTCTATTTCTTCCTTGCTCTGTGTGTGTCTGTCTTTCTGTTGCACTTTCGCTTCTCTTCTTCAAGGAATTCTTTCGCATGCAATGCCCGCCTTGCAATCCTTTTAAAAGCCAGCTTCAAGAAAAATGTAAAACTAAAAGCTGCAGCAAATGTAAAGTAATAATTTGCTGCAGCAGCTTACAGCTTATCACGCTGCAGCTTTTGCGTGGTGCAGCCTCATGTAGATAACAAGGAAGGCTTCAGGGAACGCCCCAGCGTCACTTAGAGGCCTCTAGCTGGTAACTGCTCAGTTTTAATTAATTGATTTTTATTTGCTTCTAAATATGATTTTTATGTGTTTTAAATACTCATTTCAACCTGTAGGCGGGCACCGGCTGCCGGTGCCTGCGGCTGTTACACAAGTGGGTCTTGCCCACGCTGGCTCAAACCCATTCAAATGAAATTTCTGTAAATATTTGAATAAAATGAATTAAAATGCAGCAAAATTAATGAAGGTGGTGAACCTGTGGTGTTGTTGCTGCAGCTGCTGATGATGCACTCGACGCCATGAAGGCAAAGGGGGGGTGACCTTGTCTGTGCTGCTGCGCCAGGGGAAATACCCCTTTTGCGACTGCACGCGTTCCCTAAAAAGCAAATTATTTGTTTTATTTTATTAAGCGTTTTTAGAAAAGTATTAACAGGTTTACTCAGTGCACTAGGAGGCCCATAACCACAGCCGATGTGCTGTGCCTCAACCAGAAGACCAGTGGCTCGGTGTGGCCTTCGCTGTTGAAGTCCGAATCTGAAGGCTCAATTCGCGGCCCCTTAGCCAGCTAGATTGTAAAATTAAGTTTTGATTTATGAGCATTTCAAATTTGATAATAAATGGGGAGGAAAAAATTAAAATAGGCGGTTAAAAACGAGCCAACCAGCAGCAGCAGCAGCAGCCGACAGCCGGTGAGCTGCCGCGTGCCTGCGCCCGCGGGGGTGACCTGCGAGGCTCGCTGGCCTTGGCTAGCTTGTCTCACTTTATATTTTGAGTTCTCTTGAGTTCGAATCAATTTTGAATTGAATTTAAGTTTGATTTAAATTCAACTAGAGCTTTTCTTTGCGTCATCTTTGCCGTTACTCTGCGATCACCGCCGCTGAGCAGCCCAAGGCTGAGCCCTGCCTCTGCGTAAAAGATCGCCTTTTTCTCAATCTTTCCACCCCTGTCTTGGCAAGTAAAGACAGCAGCAGATTGAGAAAGACTTCAGGGTCCTGTTGCTTCTTTTTTGAGCCCAATATCTCCACTTTTCCCCTCAAAATGATCCAAACAAGCCCCCATTCCAGTGGCCGCGGCGCGAAGCTGGTGCAGTCCCGCCCAGCGCCTCCAGTGCCTGCTGCTGAGGCCTCAGCCCAAAGCCAAGAAACGTAAGTAACAGATTCTTTGCTGCTTTGTTTTCTTTAATTTTCTCCCCAGTTCCTGTTCAGCTGCAGAGAGCTTCAAGTCTGCAGCAGCAAGAAGTGCACTTTGTGTCTTTTTGTTGCAGAAGAAGCCCCAGCTTGCTGGGAAGCGAGAACCCCAAGGACGCCCCTGGCGCTGCAGCAGCAGCTGCAGCAGCAGCAGCTACAGCAGCAGCAGCTGCAGCAGCAGCAGCTACAGCAGCAAGCCAATCAGAGTCCGAAGAAGCAGCGCCTGCTGCCCTGCGACTGCCCCGGATTCCCTCGCTGCGGGAGCCGCTGCCGAAGCGGAGGCAGTCGCGGCTGGAGAAGTACTTGGCCAGTCGAGACCAGTACATGGGGAAGTACACAAGACTTAGCATTTATTTCAAAGTTGCTGCTCGCATGGGCAACTGCAGCTGCAGCAGCAGCGCCGAGAGCGACAGCGGCAGCAGCAGCAGCAGCGAAACCACGCGCCGCCGCCGCCCCCGCAGCAGCAGCAGCAGCGCAACACACCAGCAGTCCTCCTACAGGGAAACCAGGCTGGCCACACCCAAGGAACCCAGGGGGCCCCCCTCCCCGGGTACCCAGGAGGGGGGCCCCCATAAGAAGCGCCGCTCTCTGGACTCTTTTGTCCACGCAGTAGCAGAACAGCTCACAGCTTCTCCCGCGGCCCGGGGGGGCCCCCCTAGCCAAACAGGGGGGGCCCCCAGGGGGGCCCCCGGGGGCCCCAGTACCCCCCAGTCCGAAGCTGAAGCCGAGACCCCCCAGGCCCCTCAAGAAGACCCTGAAGAGGCCTATGACGCTGACTACGAGAGCGACGCAGGAGAATACGACGAGTTCTTCTAAAGCTGCTGCAGCAGCTGCAGCAGCAGCTGCTGCAGCAGTTGCTGCTGATCTTTCTTTCGAGTCTTTGCACATATGACATGCTAGGACCTATTGTTTGGCTCGCCACATCCTCGGCCAGCAGGCTAGAGCTAGCTAGCTGGCTAGCTAGCTAGCCCGTCGCCACTAACTAGCCTCCCAAGTAGGATCAGCTGAGCTAGCCATGACTTGGCTCTTAGCTACCTTTTTAAATCTAAACCTTCCACTTTTTGAGCCCACTGCAAATTGCTTTCGGGGTTTTAATTAACTGGCTGCAGCAGACACTTGCGCCTCCTCAGGTGTCCATACACCCCAGCAGCAGCACAGAGCCACCAGTCTACGTACATCCCCAAACCCTAAACCCTAAACCCTTGTAATACCACAAACTGAGAAAAACTGTTCTGTAAACGAGGAGAGGCAGCTGCCTGGAGGGGACAGTCTTGGCTCTCCTCCCGGCTGTCTCCTGAGGGGAGACAGACGCGGGGCCCCCTGTTGCTGCGCTGCAGCAGCAGCAGCAGCTGCTGCTGCAGCAACAGCTGCTGCAGAACCCCGACCTGTCTGGTGCATCCCGAGACCCGAGGTCCCCGCCGCTTAAACTCCATCACACACTGCATTCAACTCAGCCCCCTGCCACGGGGGCCCCCCCTGCTGCTGGGGGGCCCCCGGGGCCCCCAGGGTACCGGGGGGGCCCCCGTAGGCGCGGGGGCCCCCCTTGCTCCACGGGGCCTTGCCGTGGCCCCCGAGGTCGCCTGGGCCCCGGGGGGCCCCTGAGGGGCCCCCCAGGCAGCCCCAAACAACCCAGGGTCACCAAAAATAGTGAAATGAACAGCCCCGCTGCACTGTGACAATTCAAAGGGACTTTTTCTATCCACAAAGATCTTCTTTACAGTCCCTACGCCTGTGGGGCGCCCCAGGGAGCTCCTGCCTGTGTCTTTGGCCCCAGCCTTTCTGGCTCGGGGCCCCACACGGGCTCTGCTGCGCTGTGTGCTGTTGCTGCTGCTGCTGCTGCTGCTGCTGCTGCTGCCGCTGGCTGGGGCCCCGCCCGCGGGCAGCCGCAGCCGCGGGTCTTGTGTGTTCATTTTCTTGCATGCAACCCCAAAGTAAAGAATATATTTACTTTTGGATAAACACAGGCTGCTTAGTAAAATACTTTAGATGTATTTGCACTCAGCCCCCCGCGCAGGCTGCACCTGCAAAGACCCAAAACAAAGCCCAGCAGCAGCTAGCAGCAGCCAGCAGCAGCTAGCAGCAGCCAGCAGCAGCTAGAAGCAGCCAGCAGCAGCTAGCAGCAGCCAGCAGCAGCTAGCAGCAGCCAGCAGGAGCTAGAAGCTGCCAGCAGCAGCTAGAAGCAGCCAGCAGCAGCTAGAAGCAGCCAGCAGCAGCTAGCAGCAACAAGCCGCAGCCAACAGGAACCAGCTACAGCCAGCCGCAGCTAGCAGCAACCAACCGCAGCTAGCAGCAACCAGCAACAGCCAGCAGCAGCTTGCAGCAGCTAGCAGCAGCAGCAAGCAGCAGCAGCAAGGAGCAGCAGCGGTGGGTGCTGCGGGGTCAGACGGCGACGAGTTTGGCTGCGCGGAGCATTTTTTCGAGGAGGTCTTTTTGCTGCCGGACGGGGAGGCTGCTGGGGAGAGTGTTTTGGAGAATGAGAGCAGCAAGAGGTGCAGAGAGTGGCAGCAGCTGCTGCTCCGTGCTGCAGCTCTCTGCCAAAGACAAACACTTTGAAAGACATGCAAACTCTTCCTCAGGCTCTATTACGTAGTAAGGCACCCAGCTCAACAGACACACGTCCCGCAGGTCCCGCAGCAGCGCGCAAACAGCAGCTTTCATCAGCTGCAGCCTGCTGCTGCTGCTGCTGCTGCTGCTGCTGCTGCCTTTCTTTTCGGCTTCCGGGGGCCCCCCCGCCGCCCCGCTGGGGGGCCCCCGGACCCCCGAACGGGGGGCCCACCCCCCGCAAACTCCACGCGGGGCTTCGCTCGGGCTCTCTCCTGCTGCTGCTGCTGCTGCGCCTGCTGCTGCTGCCGCGGCGCCGCCTCTGCTCGGCCCCGCGGCCGCGGGCCGCTCAGCAGCCACACAGGGCGGCGGAACCGCAGCAGCAGCAGCAGCAGCAGCAGCAGCCCGCGGCGTGTCCTCGGGCTTGGGGCTCGAGAAAGCTGCAGAAGAAGAGACAGAAGAACTCGACTGCCTCCTCTCCCCGGGGCCGCCGGCCGCGCCCTCCGCCTCCACGGCCCCCACGCCTGCTGCAGCAGCAGCAGCAGCAGCAGCAGCAGCAGCAGCAGCGGCGGGCTGCAGACAGTCCTCTGCTGCTGCCTCCGCGCCGCAGGCAGGCTTCGTGCTGCTGCCCGAACTCAAAGACACAGACAACGCAGGTGACCCCAGACTTGCTGCTGTTGTGGGAGTGGCGAAGACAAGAGAAGAGAGGCGGTCGGGAGTATCGACAGACGTGTTTGCGGCGTCGCAGCTGCTGCTGCTGCTGCTGCTGCTTAGCAGCAGCAGCTGCTGCTGCTGCAGCGTCTCCTGCAGCGCGCGAGCAGCCACCTCAATAGGGGACCCCAACGCGGGCCCCACGCATCCCGCGTCCCTGCCCTGTGCACTACGGGGCTTGCTGCCGGTGCTGCTGCTGCTGCTGCTGCTGCTGCTGCTGCGCAGAGCTCCTGAAATCTGGCGCATGAGGGAGAACTCTGCTTCCACGAGTGCTGCGGCTGCTGCTGCGGGGTCCTGGACTGCTGCAGCAGAAGCCGCCGCGGCGACGTTGGCGCTTGACGGGGCGCAGTCCTCTGCTGCTGCTGCTGCTGCTGCTGCTGCGGGTGGCGCAGCAGCAGCTCCCTGCCGGGGCTGCAGCAGCACAGTGTCCGAGACATCGCCGGAGGGCTGTCTCTCTTTACATAACTTTACTAATTTGGATAAGAGGTTTGTGGGGTCCCCCGCGGGGGGCCCTCTTTTAGAGGGGCACGGAGAAGAAGGGACCTGGAGGGCGAGGCAGTCTTGGAGCAGCTGCTGCTGCAGGAGCTGCTGCTGCTGCAGCAGCAGTTGCTGCTGCTGTCCACTGGCCGAGGACGCCCGGAGCCAGTCCCCGGCTTCGCTCGCCTCGCTGGTCCTCCAACCTGCTGCAGCAGCAGCAGCAGAGCTCGTTGCTGCTGCTGCTGCTGCTGCTGCTGCTGCAGCGTCGGTGTCGGCTCTGGTGTCGGCGGCGGGCTCTCGGAATCCGCAGCGGCGCCGCGTCCAGAAGGCGCCCTTAAGGCTGTTTCCGGCCGCAGCAGCAGCAGCAGCAGCAGCAGCAGACACATCTGCAGCTTTGGCTGGATCCGTCGTCGCGAGCGTCCCGCGCGCTGCTTCCTCCTCCTCCTCCTCCCCCCCGTCCTCCGCAGCAGCAGCAGCAGCAGCAGCAGCAGCA